TCGATGGGAAGTCTAGGCAGAAACTAGGATGAAGGCAACTAAAATTACCCGTAGTTCTTGTTAGGCTTTCTAACTTGTGTCTCCCACTTGAAGAATAAGTGTTCCACCAGCGTCTATATAGCACTGCTTGAAAGTGTGGTACTTTGTCTTCCTCATCGTGCGCCTAGTGCTGCTAAACTAGAGTTCGTTTCCGTGCAGCTCGCTAGCGAGTGCGAGAATGCATCAGAACCCACAAGCATGTTTCGGGTATATGATAAACAGACGCCTCTCATATGGATGTGTTCATCACTCAGTTCCTGATCGAGCCACCTAACTCCAAGCTCGATGAATACCTCCAAGTTTACACTTCTGAAGCTACGATACAAAGTGTTTCTCATAGGTTCCCCGTTTTCCTCACGAAGAGGAGAAATTGATAAGCAACAGAAAACCATTCTGTGGTCACTGCCAGCGAATACAACACCAACGTAAGTGGTGACTGGGATGACGTCACGGAGGAACTATTCAGGGTTTTATCGTCCGCAAACAGCCTTCTGCCGACTTCAGGGTGTGGATTTCTGTGAGGCTGACGATGCGACGCGTGAATCAAAGAACCTTTTGGTGGTGTAGCTGGCGTGTGTGTTAGAAGACTTTTGCTGTCGCACCAACAGTTTGGTTCCATAATGCCTAACTACAAAGTGCCATGTTAACATCAGCCACAGAGGTTGACATTATCTGACCTACCTACCAGGTTCGAGGTCTTCTCGAAAAGACGTTTGCAACCTGTCAAGCTCATAAGCTACCACTCTTTCCCCACGCTTTTTACAGATGGGACTCCTCAGCGTTGCATCGCACGTGAGTCCTCTTTCATACAGATTACCTGGAAGCAGCGCGCAGTTTTCCTCGGGATGTTTTAGGACGCAGACCACGGACAACACAGATTGACTTGAACAATAGACCTCTCTGAAGATGCTGGAGAGGCCTGGCTTTAAACACTAGAAATGCGAAGTTTCCTTTCCGGGTGGCTGACGCAGATTTTAGCCCGTTTAGGTTTGCAATACAGAACACTACAGGGGGTCCAGATAACGGATTCTCAGGGTGGATTCTATTTATTCTTGTTCCTACCATTGGCTGCGATTGGAAGGGTGGATGTTGGACACTCAGAGTACCTACAATGTGACTAAGATGACTAGAGACACACTTAACCTTTTTCCATACCCCTTGTTAGATGTGCGACAAAAATTAATGGATGTATATCGTTTGGATGGCTCGTGTAGCAGACAACATGCCGGGGCTAAAGTCTACACTGGCAGGCCCCGTTTAAAATCAGGGACAATATTCTTCATAGTTTATCATGGCTCGATGTGCAGTGAACAACCACCACCACTCGAATCTCATTTCCACCTATGAAAATAGACGGAAGGAAACATCACAATACCGGTAGTCAGATTTGTTGCTCGAGGATGGGAGGCTGGGAGGCCATAATAATCCTTTACCAGTAGATTTCTATGCCTGTCCCATCCCCTTTTGATCGAGTCAACTGGTGACGAGGACACCACCTCTTCTGGGGGTCGGTTACAGGCATTGATTACTCGACGTGAGAACCAGTGCTTTGCGGAGACCGTGTTCGTTCTTTGCTTTTGCAGTCTCCTCCCATGTCCTCTGAGTTGACCCGACCCAGTGGAGGTAAAAGAGAAGATAGATCAGGTCCGAAGTCATTTCTTAGGATCCTGTACAGCATGACTGGGTCCTCTCTCTCTGCGATAGGACAAAGCGATGAGGTTTAGCTTCCTAGGTCGATCTTCATGGGTGAGGCCAGCCATCGCAGGAATGAGACGGACGGCTGCCGTCTCAACTCCTTCTAGAAAGTCTGCATCACCTTTCAGACAAGGATTTTCCACCTGTGGACAGTCTTCTAATTTAAACTCAACTAAAGGTGTGTATGAGATGGTGAACATGTCACCACTTATTTTCGTACGCGTCCTACGTAATGCCCAGAGTCCTAAGACTCCGAGCTGCTAAAGATCGACAGCGAGACGTGGCCTTCAAGTCATAACTCACTGTGACTCCTAGGTCATTTTGGGTCGGTGGTGACTGTAAAGGAGTCCCATCAATATCGTAGGTGCATGTGTAACCCAAGTGCATGCTCACGCCTTTGCATGCGTTGACAGACATCAGCCACTTCTCTGACCAGGTAAACAAGCTGTTCAGGTCTGCCTGGGGTGCACATATACCCCCACCGCTGGCGTGGAGAACCGTAGTGAATTTTGTGGTGTTTGGCAGCTCATTTACGTACGAGAGAAACACCAGGGGGCCCGGGACTGTGCCTTGAGGCGCTTCACCGCCTACCGGCTTCCAAATGGAGAGTTGAGAATTGATCCCGACTCTCTGTCTTCTGCCAACAAGAAAGCTGCTTGTCTATGCAAGCAGACTGCTAGTGATTCAAAAAATTTCCAGTCTCCCGAGCAACCTGGAACGAAGTACTTTGTCGAACGGCATACCGAAGTCAATGAAAGTGACATCTACAGGTGTCCTGTCATCTCTAAACTTTGCTCGACTTTCTCTGGCTGTAAGATTGTTCGTCAGGGAAGCGAAGTTTCTGCGGAAACCATGCTGTGAACAAGACAATAGAGTGTTGCTCCCTAGGCGGACTGTATTGGTTTTCTTGATCGCTCTTTCTGGGGTTTTCAATACAGTACTAGTCAAACCTATCGATCTGTCATTTAACAGGGGCTTCCTAGAACCTGCCTGGTGGATAGGTGTTACTTGGGATCCCTCCAGTCACAAGGGAGTGTGCCTTCACTGAGAGACAGCCTGAACATGGAGGTCGGCGGACCGGCTACACAGAGTGCCAGCTCTCTGAACAGCCTTGGGTGCAGCTCATCCGGCCCCGCTGATTTTCCCATGCCGAGACGACTTCATAACGGAAATACGTCGGTGCGATCGATATTCACAGACTTTATTCCGTTGGATGTCAATGCCTCTACTGTTTAGCGAGTGTTCACAGAGGATTCCTGTGATATCCGGCCATGGCTCCTGCTTTCTCCCTACCGTCCTCAATCGAACATTCAGTTTCGGTCCCACTGATTAGGGCGGGTATACCGCGTCACACCTGATGTGCATGGTCCACATGGGAGAATAACCTCTTGAGATGTTGCAGTTCAGCCTGGTCAAGGCGTGTTTCAAGGCACCGGTGGATAGCAGCGATAGATTTGTTGCCGGCTTCTTTGTAATGCTTCACTACTTGTGGCGTACAAAGGGGGGTGGCGAAACTCCAACACTTTTTCGTGCGTCGTAGCAAGATTCGGGTTTCGTGGTTTATCCACAGAGGACAGCGTTTCTGCCCCTCGGGACAGTCCTCGAAATGAACGGTTGGGTCACTCGTGCATATAACTGTTTGAGGGAGCACTACGCACCTTGGACAGAGGCTTTTGGATTGACTGCCCAATCCCCTGAGAAGGCTGTCAGGTTAATAGCTTCGATATTCGCTTTCCGCACGTTGAGTCTAGCTGAGGCATCGGCCTGGTGCAAGTCGTATACCGTGAATCTTGAGATGACCACCGCGTGATCACTTTTACCAAGGGATGCTAGGTGCCGGATGAAGCATACATCATATGTACGCGAGAATGCCAAGTCTAGAACTGATGGAGCATGCTGATGATCATATCTGGTTGGTGTCCTGATGTGCTGTATGAGGGCTAAGAAATTGATGCTGCCACCAACCTGTGGTCAAGCGAATCACGCGGTGCTTTTGTTGTCAGTTTATCCCAGTCAACCGATGTTGCGTTGAAGTCTCCCGCAACTGGACATCGGGATTTATCTGTCCGGAAGGTCAGCTTGCTCAGGAGGAAGCCCGCTGCCTTACATCCAGGGCTTCGATACGTTACGATTACGTTAACATCTTGCCTCATGCATTTTAGTTGGCAGCGCAGCATTTCGCCTATCCCACCTCCATGTGCAACTGTTTCTATGGCTTTTATAGTTGGGGTATCCTTGTCGTAAAGGATGACACTACCACCATGCGTGCTAACCCATCACTTCTAAGAGGGATGAATCCTGAAAAGAGCCAGGTTTCCGAGACAGCAATGATGTCAGGGCTTTCGTTGCTTATCACACTACAAAGCCCATTCCGCTTGTTTTGGAGATTACATACATTTATGTACAAGACAACGAAACTACTTGAATGAGTTTCTGTCCTGTCCATGGAGGCTTCGGCATCATTTGTTGCCGAAACCTCACTACACGAAAACCCGCCACTTTCATATTCCGCCCTCCAGCTGCTAATCTGGATTTTAGTTCTGCCTCTCGTTTTTTGATTCGGTCAGCAAGAGCCAAGTCCTTTCGCACGAACACTTCAGACCCTTGAAGTCTACGCGCGTTCTTCAGAGGCTGGTCCCTCTCATCTATTGGCTTAAACACGACTTTAGGTGGCCGAAACTTGTTTTCAGTAATGACTGCCTCCTGTTTACCTACTCCCCATATCTTGAGTAGTGCGAATCTCGGCATGTTTTCCGGTAAAAGTTGGTTTATCGAACTTTGTACCTTGCCTAGATTATGTTCAAAATGTTTACGTGGGTCCGGATCTCTACTCTCTTCCACTCTGTGGGAGATTACTGACCTGTCAAGGGGCTCTGCTTCGTCTTTGCTCTGTGGAGTGATGATGGCTGGTTCGGTGACCCCCATTGTCTTCTTAGCATGCCGTTTAGATTTAGTTAGTTGTCGTTTTTCAGAGTCAGGTATGCAAGGTTTACTACAGCCTGGTCCAGTGACCCTGAAGCTGAGAGCCTCAGAACGGACTTGCATCCCATTTTGTGTGAGTTTCGCCAATGACTGGGTCGCCTAACTCGGTATGACCGGCGGCCCGCATGGTTTCATCGCTGGAATTGCGAAGGATTTCGAAGCGTCTACAGCTAGCTGAAGATTTTTCTAGCGACGCGAGACACGAAAAATACGTCGAAGTGGCCGAAGCTTACTTAGACTGTCCTTTTCCTGTTGGCAATAGATCATTGTTTTCCCTTACTTAATACTACTGTTGTCGGAAGGCGCAATTTCTAAATTTGTTACCTGTTAGTGCTTTTCGGATCCTTAATCAATTTAAACTGTGAAAATGGCTGGAATCGGAATGACAAATGAAACAGTAAATGATGAAATTGTGTGTTTTATGCCCGAATGTTTAGCATCATGTGGTTGATACAGAGGTGTGTCAGCTCAACGTCTATGTTCAGGTAATATTATTTTCCGTGCAGCAAGTAATTATAATCTCTCTGATGATTGTGTTCTTATCTTCAGCTTTTAGTATGCCGACTAAGAATTATTGAAAAAACATGTTAGTATCTATGTTCTTACCAGCCATGAGCGTGCAACGATAATTTTATGGACAGATATAGCAGTTGTTTCTATCTATTTCGTTTAACCAAAAACTAACGATCCATCTAGTTAACAAAATGAGATATAAAGTGGATCAACGGGTTGCCGATCCTCTCACAGCACTGACATTTAACTCGAATAACCTTGACTTGACTACTACCACAATACGAGTTCAAGTGTGAAATAGAATGTAGATCCATCTTCACAGTTAACTGTTAAAGTGCTTGAAATCCTCATTTTGTGAATTAGATAAACGTGAACGAAATTGGCTCGGAGAGGAGCCATCACACGAATTATCGACAGGATTGGTTAGATACTGGTTTGTAATGTGTGCTGTGAAATAAAAATACGCAGAAGTTGAAGTACTTGGAAATACAAGCCTTTTGATACGGAATGACTAATATTTTGTTCGATTTAATTTGAGATTTGCTGATAGTTGGTAGTGTTGAATTTCAGACTAAGCTGACTTTCCCTCACCCAATCAGTTACATTACTTATTTTAACATACACCATCTCACAAAACGTTTTGCTGGGAAGTAGCTTTATCAATAAAATGACTAGGTCTCTAGAGGCTATTTGAATCTAGTGTTCCAGTGGGGTTGTGCTTTGGCATTACTACCAGCTAAGGCATAATGTCGGTTACACTGCCTACATACAAAGCTTAACTAGAATTAACATTAAGGACTCTTTGTTACCTTGAAAGATCAGAAATATTATTTTCACTTGCAGTGTTGAGTAATTTATGCCGATCTGTATGCAGAATAGGGCATTAATCTCCTCTAGTTGTGTGTTATACTTTTCTTGTGGTTTCCATTAATCTCACGTTTTTCCTCAGACTAAGCTTCGCAAAATGCGTTTGTATTTCAGCTACTTGAAAGTCAGTCTAAAGCTCACCCAGTTTAGGAGTTTTGTTGCATGACTCTTAATGATTATCATGCATTTGAGTTTGAAACAGCGTCAGTGTAAATAACATTTTGGTCAGCGTTTCATCCAGGAGTCTTAACAGCTCACACGCTATGCCATCGACTACAATCATACAGATGAGTTTTTTCATCATCTTCAACATACTAGATATACTATCAATGTATGTCTGCTGCTTACACGCTAACATATTCACTAACTTTTCCATTCTAAAATCTTATCACTTTTGTCACTGGGAGGAATAGTGGAGTGAACTGATCAACATGCCTTCAAGTTTCTACATTGATTTGTATGTCTGTTTGTTCCACAAAAGCCAACTATACGTGTAATAATCCAACAAAGACTTTTAAAGTGTTTCAAGTTTGTTGACCTTTTCCCCTGGATTGTGTTTCCTCAGTTGAGATGACTTAAGTTCAAACCAATTGAAAGCATCAGGGGTAACCGCCTCATATGTGGGGCGAATTTGTCTGATAAACAGATTTTCGTGAGAAAAAACTATGAGAGTTATAAACCAAATCACGTAGTTTGGTGAACCATTGTAGCTAAATGAGGTTCTGGTATCAACCTATGGGAATTAGTCAAACGGGTTTTAGCATCGATATGGTGGAGAAAAACAAACAAACTAAATGAATGAATGTTTTATAGGTCTTGCTCATCTCGTGAGTTGCAGAAAAGTCCAAACAACAAGTCTTGTAGAACACAATAAATTCATAGGATGTTATCATCTACTTGTGGGGTACACACAGACTGAAATTACAGACTACGAATGAATGAAAGCAATTAAAATGCTTGAATGATCAGTAGGAAAGTATCCTACTACCTGAAAAAGTGACAGGCAAGAGCGGGATTGTACAGCCAGAAAGTTCCTGAGGAAGAAAATAATAGATTAACACTGGAGTTTTTCAATATCTGATCCATTTACACCTTTTGATTGTTGTAACTCTGCTTTCGTTTATTATTTTGTAGGGAGTGAAACCGATATGTTTTGATCATCAGGTTTTGTAAACTGAATATGTCCATATACGTCCTGTGGCCTGTACACTTCATATAGCTGGGGAGGAGACAAAAATTATCATGAGCTGATTATCCCCCTCCTACGTGTTGCTTTTGTTTTGGCGGGACAAACCCAAGTGTTTAACTTGACTTTAAAGGCCTCTGTACACTGCAAGCGAACACTGTTTATTGTTTCTTTATGCAAAGCGTAGATAGTTTCAATTGGTCATCTAAAAGCCTACACTGATGAGAGAATAATATCATTAGATGGCGAAAAGTGAAGTCTCTCCTCAGCATACTCATTGAGTCCCATAAATGTGCGCGTGTTCCATAAGGTCCAAAGTTAAAAGTCACAGGCAAAAAGAAAACTAGGCATCACATTATACGGCTAATGGTTTCGTTACAAAGTTCAGCCAACTTTCTAGCTCCATTTTCACTGCTCCTGATATTGTTCTCTTCCGAAAATGATGAAAAGTATTCTTGATTATCAAACAAGTATTTCATGTTCGACCGCTAAATTCCCATTTAATAAGTCCAAAGTGACCACTACCAGTTCCAATTTTTTGAAGTCAATAGGCTGTGACTTGTGCGACCTTAAATGCTATACAGCAGTTGGGTATGTAAGTATACCATTCCCTTGATGCTTGGACGAACATGACCTCTCTATAGACGGAATAGAATGCTGAGATTTTGGGGTCATCTTTGACTAATATTCAAATGATCTGAAGCTAACAACTTTTACTATTTGTTAATCAACACGGAATTGATATGGACATTTTTGAAATATCTGGTTATCATGGTACTGGCTGATATTATATATAATCAGTGGTCCGTTGCGTTAGACTTATTTCACCTCTGACTTTCCCAGGACACAGTTTTTCTGACTTACGATCTGACAGAGTAAAGTGTTAGTAGCCTTACTCAAAATTTTGCTTCCTCAGATTATTAACCACCATGAACTGGTAAGCTGTACATACTTATTCACTTTATTTCTATGCGGAAGTCAAATAACTGGTTATCATTATCAGTTGCAACTGTACACATAATCACAAGGATGTATTATTAAAAAAATAATAGTTACGAGTATTATGTAATTGAAACCGGTGACAAGAAGCTCGGACCAATCTTCCGTGCGAAATGCTGGAATTATTTGGTTTCAAACCCTCTGTGACTTACACAAATACAATCTTTGTCTAATGTTAACCTTTTACTCGGCACCCGATAATCGCCATGCTAAACGATCAAATCTTGATCATAGATCACAGAGATATAACAACCCGTTTGAAATTTTACAAAATCTTCCTGCTATATATAATCTAAGATTTATTTCATTGTTTTAATCACCTGGTCAGTTACCACCCCCTTGATACTATGAGATTGATAACCTGTGTTCACCACTGGATTGGTATGTAGTTTTACGTTTCGAGGATGCGATATATCAGTGTGGAGCCACTGATGAGGAACTCACTGAGAAGAAATATCTCTTCGCCTACATTGTCTATTTTTATTAAATGTCTAGATGGGAATTTTCGCCTATAATTAGTACATTGCTTTGTGGCTGAAGTGACTTAACTTGAGGATGTGTTCCTTTGTTTACCGTTGAAATTTTCTGAAGTGATCATATGTGAAAGTGTGGCTTACTCGTCTTCTTTGTAAAATCGTTTTATTTACTTTTCTTAGGGTAGAATTATGCCTCAGAAGCCCGTATTCCTTACCTGTCATGATTTGGGGTGTAACCGTGAGTTGTAATGTGTTTTTTACCTTGAGATTTTGTTCGCAATAGTCAGTGTGATGAGGATTCCTTACTTATTTACTTAAGGTTATTGCATATAATTTGTGAATGGAATTTACAAAGGTTCTCACAGAGTTAGTCTGTGGGAAGTTCTTAGTAGGGCGTTCATCCTTACACGTTAGAGGAATACGCTAGCAAGATTTTGAAGAGGTTAAGCATTCGATTTCAGGTGGGATCACGTGCACAAGAATCGAAGTCGCCGTCAACAGTTTATCGCAGTGACAAATAGAGTGATATGACCTGATATCGCGTGTTTAAATGAGACACTACGAAATATGTAACTGGAATGTGATTCTGACTGCCTACCAGACTCGCTATCTGAGTATCGCTGTACTTGTCTACGCTTTACCTACGCTTACGAATCTCCAACTGATCTGAACTGAATACGAGACGAGATGTTCGCATGCCTTTAACAAGCAGTCATTTCCCCCCCCCCCCACTTTACAGCCGAAGAAGAGTGTGCTCACAGCTTCCTAACTTTGTCCTTTCACGATCGGAATCATTTATATATACAGCTGAATTGTATATCCGCGAAAAGTCATAATTGGATCGAGCAAGCTAATTGATTTTTTGCAATATGAACTGTGATAATGCACGATAACCGATTTTACTCAGTGGATGATTATTTCATGAACATGAATCGTACAGTATTGACTGCTGCCATGTATTTGGTTTTTGACAGATATCAAATGGACTAGCAAATGAGTTGGTTTCCTCGAATATGATGGACTTTACTGGCTGATCTAAGCGTGTTGAATGGTTTCTTTTGGTCTGGTCTAACTGATTAAAGGTGAATTGGTAGTGATAATTTTCATTCGTGGATGTGTGTTCGTCAAATCCACTACCACTTCTCTTATGCCAGGAACGTTTTTCGGGACTTCGTTCTTTGCGAGTTCATAGACGGATTCCATGTTCAAAAGTCTATTGATTGCAATCTCATATGATTACCACACTCCACATAATTTCTTTGATGCCTTTTAGTCCAGTTGATCAAATGTCAACAAGTTTTCTCAGTCGGATCGATACGTGTACTTGAGGAAATGTAGTTAAGATTTTGTGTTTTGGTATCCCAATAATACTGGTTGTTCATGTAAACTTTTCAGTGTTGAGCGACGGAACTATCACACATGATCCATCCGTAAATCACATTCGACGATTCCTTTGTGGATGTTGAGTCATTTGCGTTGTATATTATATCCTGAACGGATTTTATTGCGTTTTCTTTTCCAGTGTTTCAGTTACTGCTGAGATATTGATAATGTCATTAGAGAAAGATCTAGATTGTATAAGATACTTATTAGTTTATTAGTCAACATATATCTCGTACGGTCTATCAAACTTTTTTGAGAGTTAACTAAATAATCCAGCGTTGAACAAAAGTATAATACCTTTTTATCAACTGTGCATTAAAATGTGTTTTTCCGCCTATGCGAATAAGTGGTTCCCGTGAATTTCAAATATCTCGATTCTGCTGTTAGTATATACACTAGACACTTGATTACTGTTTATCTCAATGTTTCGAATTGAAGGTTTTAAATGTCCATTAGATAATGGAAATAGTCATCGTTCATCAGCATAAAGTAATTCATTTTTCGAGGGAACTAATTGGTCTTTCTGTCTGAATATTTCATTCTACTGCACATGTAATGATGTTAAGCTTGTACTCTGACTGCTTTCCGGTAATAATGGCCATCTTTTCCCCCTGAAGGGAATCTTCAGTCGAATATCATGAAGTTTATGATGATTGTATTGTTTTCTACTGAAATGATAGAGATGTGTTATCGTGAGTGTATTATTACAATGGTTACGGTCAACTGCCTGGAGCGTGATGTCAGATTTTAAGTCAAGCTATCAAATGTTTTATTATCAACCTCGGTATACACCAAAAAAAGACTGAATAAACATGATAGCCTTTTTTGGCAGTTTTCTGTTGAGATCATAATATTCATCATCATGAAGTTATCTGTTATCTAGGGTTTTCCACTTGTCACGTGTCTAATAAATGCATTCAGTGCGTGCTGTTTTCAAATAGTCTGCTAGATAGTTTTATAATAATTTATTAGTCATGTGTATGACAGGCACAAGTGGTAGAGCTATCCAGTTATGCAGATAAAGCGGATTATTCGAGTCTTTTTAGATGTTTTTGACAGACTATCATTTTATTGTTTACACTCCACGGCCGTTCGATTTGGCATAATGACATTGAAAGATTATACATTGACTGGCCATCGGAGAGCAAGCAAATAGTTTTGTGTTGTCGCCAGGATGCTGAAAAGCCCATCATCATGATGAATTTCGATGGCTGTTAGTTGGTTGGGGGCAATTGGCAGAAAGCCCTTGACCTAGTTTTCGTGCTTGTCGGTACTCATCAGCAGGTCATGTCTGCGACCCGATAGAACTGATGCCACTCTGAGTTTCAAAGATTATATTTCTCAGCGACAGCAAATAAATTATTTCCTATGATTTAATGTTGGATAACTGAACTTTGTCATGATTCATTCATCGACATTCACATGGCATTCTGTATTTTATCTGGATTAGAACAAACAATTGAACATCAGATGAAACAAAGTGTTTAGGAAGGAATATAACTGTACTGGGGTTAGAAGCGTTTTCTGCTTTCATAGGAGTTATCTGGATGCAGAAACCATGGTCATTCTTGTTTGGCAGTATGCATAAACCTGTGACTTCAAGAAATGCTTTCTAGAAGACTTGCCAATTTTGGTGAATATTCGTTTGCTTCTCGCTTATTTCTAAATGCTGTATTAAATAGTGATGAATATGGGAAGTAGCAGATGTTTTTCAGTGATAAAGATGCTTAGTACAAAAGAGCTGTATATAAAGCATCTACGATGAAACATTTTCATCGTTAACAAGTTTCCAAGCCTTAACTCAGGTTTCAACCAACGAATTCAAGTATTGGAACCTTTATTCACATAGGTGTTTCAAACATGCAGCCCTACTATCGACTGATGACACCATGTTTTTTATACAATTTCTAAAATGATAATGTTCATTTATAAAAATCATATTCTCACGTTAATTTTCTTTAATCATGTTTGTGTGTAGAAGCTATTGAAGCAAATTTTTTAACCATGGTACTCAGCAGAAACGTATGCCTAGTGGACTGTAATATCACTTTATTTTAGATCGAATTAACTTGTGTAATCTAGAATGTTAATCAGTGCAAGACTATTCAAGTTCCTTATGAAGTAAATGAGATGAGTTGTGACCGTCTACGTATACATGTGAAGCATGTGTGAGTTTACGTCTGGCCAAGTCATATCTTACAATATCCTCAGTGGTTATTGTAGTTGTACGTCACTTTGACAAATACTATAAACCAACTGCCTATCCATTAATAGCATTAAGTTCATGCTACTGGAACAATGTTAGTGTAAATACATGTATTAAATAGTTTATAATTTAGATAGTGTGAACTGTTTTGTGACTCGTTTCGATTATTGGCTGAAATACAGGTATTACGTTTATAATTCTTGTTCTGCCCCTATCTGAATTCCATCGGTCACAAAACTTTTCTTGAAGTAAATCAGTGTGTCATATATCGTGTAAAGAAACATTCGTGTAGTTTAACTGCTTTATCTCTTATATATTCGATATTGGCAATTTTCTATGCTTGTTTCTCTGGTCAAATATTTGTTATTGCTTCTATCCGGCATTAATTCGAAAAGTGGTTATTCGATGATCAAAGTCTGTATTTACTCTATCTCTTCGGCCTCCATGCTTTTGCATGTATTCCATCCTCTTCTGTGTATCAATTTGTACACCAAGAGTAGTCATATTTTACTAACCAAAAGTCCTCCTTTAAATTGGATAACTTGAAAATTAAACATGAGTTTTCTCTGTAGAGAATCTGTTAATAATGAAGGCAAAGTTACATGACAGTGACTCACTGTTGAGTGAAGCGTCAGAATAAACAATGTGTTCAATCAAACTAGAAGTTTTTGATTTAGATGACATGAGTAACTTAGCGAGAAGCTCTGGATGTGTTTCGTACTTATCTGTATTGATCAGCAAGGTACAGTTGCACTCATGAGGTGATTGGGATTCTCTTGGTGATTCGAACCTTCACCACTCATTGCTGCAGTTAGAGATTCAGCCACTGAGATATCCATTTCATAACTGATCACCTTATCTATTCCACGGTGCACACCAGTGGGTTTGCACATGCAACCCGATACAGCTGCCAGGTTTTGTTGATTACCACTTAACTACGTCTGTCTAGTGAGTTTGAAATGTGGCCACTAAGGTTTTATCTCAACTTTCATTATGCACCTGAAGTTACTGAAGTCACCTTAACCATTCAGACAGTAAATTTTAACGAGATCTTAGGTAAAATGAAATTTTTTGAAGGAATGAATTCTTTCTTAAGTTTTGCAGAAAATGTTTAGGAATCTCAGAGTGGTAATTCGATTGAAGAACTAATGACGTTAGATAAATAATCGCTGTAAACTGCAGTGCTTCTGGTTAGCATAGACGTTTTGTTTCCAGTTTTCAGATTATGAATATCACTATGAAAGATACAAGCAAGGAATAGATATGTTTATCTTTGTACTGCGTGCAAAGAAACATTAGGACATTCTCCAGAACATTACAGACTAGTTGCTAAGTTCTACAAATTTATACACATTTTTAAACAGCTGTCTCATCGCTTTGTATTGTTGCTACGGCCTGGACTTTGGCAACCAGTAGCTGGGTTGTGAGTCTCCAATAAATTTGTAGATTTTTCCGGTTACAGGAATACTCTGCTAATCACAGCCAACAACCATGAGGCTTATGTTGATTAGTGCTTATTGTGAATTGACTCTCTACTTCTCGAACCGTTTGGCACTTTGCCTTAAGTTACCTACTTTATCGAAGGTTACGAAAAAGGATCGGATCGGCCACTGGTGTTTATGAACTTGATAAGATGTATCTGGAACCAG